TTCAACGTACTTTTTATATTACGTAAGTGTCGCTGTTTCCTTCCAAAAGTGATATTGATCGATATTTATAATATCAGCCTTGGTAGTGTTTGGACATATATTATACAAATCATTCATAACTCTCAAATAACATTCGTAATCTCTAGCTTGTCAAACATGGAGTAATTTGATCATTTTGGCTTCCGGCATGAGGTTGTGTTTGATCCGCGTTTGAGCGTGTGTATGTCCCAGTGTGTGTGTGTCTGCCTGTTTGAGAGCAGGATAACTCAAAGTTTAACAAAGGTATTGGTAAATATGAAATTTGTGGGGAGAATCAATATTCCCCATGAACAAAATTTGTCAGATTGCCCTTAAATTTGGATAGAAATTGGATGAGATATTAGCGAACTATTGTCTTGCTTTGTCGGACATTGTAAACTGTTAATTCCAATTGTTTAATTAATTTATGCATGTTACATAACTTAATCCACCAGCCCAGGTATGCGGTTTCTGAGTGCCCTCTTGTTTGAAGTAAAGAATACTTAATATTTTCGAACGGGTTTTTTTCACACGTGAGAAAAATCGTCTAACCAATCAAACACTTAGTCCATAATTTTCAAATACGAAGAAATAAATACGTTATACGTACGTACATTTTGGAACCATCCACAGAGATACGAAAAACCAGTTTCGTATTATTCTGACATTGCAATCGACCAATGAAATATTCATTGGCTCGAGCGGGATTTGAACTCACATCTACGTGTATCTAGACCATAGATATAGGAGATCTAGATTGCTAACGCATACCTAGCGCAGGCGGGGCCTACATGATAAATCTAAGATGGCGGTACAAGAGGGCAAAAAGACTATAGATTCTATTACGAAAATCAAGATTTTTTCATTTTTTGCCGTCGCATTGTTTTGAAACTTATTCGGTCAAATTTTATGGTAAAGAGAAACTTACCGCGAAGATTTTGATCATATTTATGATTGAATTGGATGAAAACTCGCAAAATTATCCAGCGATAAAAGTTCGTGTATAGTACTGATATAGTACTATATATGTAACTTGTACAGTTTTGCTTTAATTTTTGCTCACTATTTGCATGGAAAGCAAATTATAACAGACCATAGGTGATAGACCCTTATCCAGTGCTCTCATCAGTTTACTTCTCTAACAAGCAAGGAGGGGGGGGTGGTACATAACAGTTCATTTTTCATAATTATGAGGACAGAGCAGATGATGATGAAAGATGCAAGTATAAAACACCATTCACAAGACTAAATGTTAACATAGCACAGTATTTCTGGCAATAAAACGATCAACTGACCAACTGACCATTTCACACGAACTTTTATCGCTGGATAATTTTGCGAGTTTTCATCCAATTCAATCATATATATGCTCAAAATCTTCGCGGTAAGTTTCTCTTTACCATAAAATTTGACCGAATAAGTTTCAAAACAATGCGACGGCAAAAAATGCAAAAATCTTGATTTTCGTAATAGAATCTATAGTCTTTTTGCCCTCTTGTACCGCCATCTTGGATTTATCATGTAGGCCCCGCCTGCGCTAGGTATGCGTTAGCAATCTAGATCTCCTATATCTATGATCTAGACCGCCGCTCTACCCATTGAACTATCGAGTCAATAGGGATTGGTAGCATCCAATTTAAGTGCACAAACTATTTTTGTGATAACTTAACGTTTGTCTTAGAGGACGCGGCAGTCGGTTTCAATTCTAATTCAGAACCTCCCTCACAGATAAGAAAAAGAAGCTTCATATTATACGAAAAATTCGTTGGTCGATTGCAGTGTTAGAATATACGAGTTCAAATCCCGCTCGAGGCAACGAATTTTTCGTTGGTCGATTGCAGTGTCGAAATAATATTAAACTTGTTTTTCGTATCTCTGAGGATGGTTCTGAAATAGAGTTGAAACACTGTGCGTCCTCTAAGACAAGCGTTAAGTCGTGGCGAAAATCTTTCGTGCACTTAAATTGGATACGACTCGTTACCAATCCCCATTGACTCGCTAGCTCAATGGGGACAGCGGCGGTCTAGATTCCCTAAATGGGGGTTCAAATCCCGCTCAAGCCAACGAATTTTTTGTTGGTCGATTGCAGTGTCAGAATAATATGAAACTGGTTTATACGTATATGTATCTGCGGATAATGCCGTCAAAATCTACATGGAAGCAGAGGCGTAACTAGAACGTTAATTGGGGGGGGGGGTACATTAATATATTCGTGTTCTGCCCGATGAATTTCTTTTGAGTTTAAGTTCATTTCAAAAGAAATTAGTCGGGCAGAACCCGAATATATGAATAATACCCCCCCCCATTAACGCTCTAGTTACCCCACTGCATGGAAGGTCAGACTTATTTGGATTGTTGTCATGCAGTACGTAATTGGCTGACACTTTGTTTTAAATTGGATGTAGAAAATAATATAGAAATGTTATACTAGTTATAGGAAAGAACATATTTTCAATCCTCCGGATACACTACTCCATTTTTTCATTGCACAAAATTATGCAAGGCTGGAATTTGCACGGAAAAATGGTCATGTCGCTGAGCATTTATTACCCGATATTGTGGGCACGGTCAATATTTCGCCCGCGCTTTTTAACTTTTTAATTTGACTTATTTGTGGTGAAATACGCCTCAAGTGAGGGCCCCCTATACCTCTTCACAATATGCTTTCACGTAAAAATATTTTGCCTTTTCACGAGTCACGGATTAAGAAAATCATCGATCACGTTTCACGGCTAAGTAAAATAAGCGCTTCACGCTTCACGCAAAAAGTATAGGGGGCCCGATCACGTTTCACGGCTAAGTAAATAAGCCCTTCACGCTTCACCCAATAACTCGCTGTCCCAATAACTCAAATCCCATTTTCCCTGTCCAAATCTGGAAAAACCCATTCAAGGCTCTCTGCACTAATGTATTATGACGCCCACCTTCTCCTCCTACACTTTTCGCACATTATTTAAAGACAAATATGTGCACTTCGCACTCGTAAAGAACACAATATTCCAATCCCAAAAATACAGGGAACTTGCAGGTTTGCACGCGTAAGTTGCAACAACTGTCAATAGATTCATATGTATTAAAGGAGATTTATCTGTGGTGTATTAGTAAATGTGGCAGAGCGCGCATTGGCGAATATTGTTTGAAAATGCATTAATAATAATAAACCAACAGGGACTTAGAGGAAATGTAGTTTTAAATTTATCTACAGGTATGAACTTTTATTATCGAACAATCGTACATCTTTTTATGAGACCAACTGCCATGCATTGCCATTCAAGCAACAATATACTCAAACAGAAAAACTTTCAGCCTAGCTTTGGTGGTGTTAATTAAGTGTTATTGATGCTAATTTTTTCTCCTAAAATATCGTTTTTAACTATAATTATGAGACAAACAACCCTTGTTCACACATTCATTTATTTAATATGTTGTAGTGTTTCTTACTTTATTCATTATTATTAGTTTACGTCCATATCTTCCTTCACGTAAAGCAATATTTATAAACAGCTTTAGTTAGCAAAGTGTAAAATATTCATTCTAGTTTTAGTAGTTTACACTTATCTAAATGGTTACTTAATCTAACACTAACAAGACGATAGCATTATATCTGCTGCGTAGATGAAAACATCGGAGTGGAATTTATATATATATATATAAATAACAGACGATTTGATTGGCTATGATATAACAGACGATTTGATTGGCTAATGCGCGTGCATTGTGACGCAATAATGCACTGTGATCTGTGGCACTGCTTTGCTCTTTCTCTGTTTTTTCCCCAATTATCACTGCTTTTTAGCCAAAACAATACACAAAATTATAGAGCTTTTAAAATACAAAATTTACCAAAAAGCAAGGAGGAATAAACCAAAGGAACAAAGCAATTTTCTATAGTTCTACTTATAAAATTAACCGGCTTGGCATTCGTCGAATTTGTTGTTGTCTCGACAAGTTTTGGGTAAAAAGAGTACAAAATAGTCCAGAAAAAAACTTGTAAAAGATACAGCTGGAAGACCAAATACATACAAAAAGGCAACAAAAACTGAATATAAGTGATTTAGAAAGTACCTTCAATTCTTCTGATAATAACTGCTAGATATATTTTCGGCGAAAGCCAAAAAATACAATATTTTCGAAAATTAAAACTGAGTAATAAACACGACGAAACCTACGATTTACCGTCTTTCATGGCAAATCCAGCAGCCCAGATGCTGAAAAACTTTGGCAAATTAGTCTGTGTGTCACTGCTTTTTTATTACCACTATTTTAAACAATTTTTCCGGCTTTATAGCATCAAAAGTTTGTATATTGTTTTGCCAATTTTTCTCCTTCGCTCGCTTAAAAATTCAAGCGACATTAAAAGCATGCGTGTGACGTCAATGTTATGAGAATTTCAACGTCGATCTGTTGAGTAAAATTGTTTACAATGTAATATCTTCTACTTATATTGTAAAAGAAATAGAAAAACTCGTCTCATGCGTTTATGGTGTGATAATACACTTGGGAAATGTTGGGAAAATACTCCAGAAGCGTGTAAAACACTCGGCTACGCCTCGTGTTTTACACGCTTCTCTCGTATCCTCCCAACATTCCCCGCGTGCATTATCACACCATAAACGCACGCGACTCGTTTTCTATTTCTCAAATATATATATATATATATATATATATATATATATATATATATATATATATATATATATATATATATATATATATAGCTTAAGATTTTGCTTTACGAAACAAAAACAGTGCTCAATACCATATAGATAGAGCGTAATAATTATAGTTTTTCGTTTTACCTCAAAAAACCACAACAGTCTGTTTCATCCGTATAGGAATCATCAGGTGGACCACCTGATGATTCCTATACGGATGAAACAGACTGTTGTGGTTTTTTGAGGTAAAACGAAAAAATATATATATATATATATATCCTGTTAAGTAATTAAAGACGAGTAATAGTTTTACTTAATTTTCTGCAGATGCTTCTCTTCGTGGCAATTTTACTCACTCCTTTTTCCAACTGTCTCCAAACAAAATTGATAAAAACAAAAACAATTCGTTCAGTTTTTGGAAAATACCTCCAAAATCATGTGTTTAAGACAACCTATCACAGCCAAGATATTCAACATTGCATATCAGACTCCTGGGTGGAGAACGAACGTTGTCAAAGCTTTAATTATCTGCCAGATTTAAACATTTGTGAATTGAATGACCGAAGTAAAGAGAATGCTCCACATGATTATATCGACAAAGACAGAAGTGTCTATCTGACCAATCCGAGATTTGGGAAGAAAAAGGTACCATAAATAGAAATGTTGTCGTTGGAAGTGCTGATGTAAGGTATTTTCTCGCGTGTTAACACAGGAAAGCGAACACGCAAACGTATTCAGCGAGTGAGCTTAGCAAAACCAAATTATATAGCAAGCGCGAAATACATTACAAAGCACTTCCAATGACCGAATTTGATTATTTTACCGACACTGAGATTTTTGGCGATAATTAGAGCCACAAATTTTATATGGTACATGCAGGGCGCGGTTCAACTTAATATTATTATATGTTTGTCATTACATTTATCCTCCAGATTATAGAGTCGACACGAATACAAACAAAATGAAAATGACTTTTACATTTTTGTAATTTTGTTTATTTTATTTTATTACCTGTAACGAGAATGATCTGAATTAATTCAAAGAAAGTTTTATTTTATATACAAATTTAAATATTTTTTATCTTTGAACTGTATAGCTTCAGATGCCTCGCTATGCTAGCCAATTTTCTCAAGTTGTCATGGGTAAGTGTTGTGATAGTTTAAAATAACAAGCGGGCGGTGGATCTGTTTGCATGCAAGAAAACTTAAATTAAGTGCTGGGAAGATCTGTTAAGGGTGTGTGAATAATTACCTTTTCTGAAAAATTAATTATTAATTTAAAAGTTCAATGTTTCTATATTTAACAGACGCCTGCCAGAGTAACCCATGCCAAAATCAAGGGGAATGCTCTCCCGATGGCAAAACTGGATTTCGATGTACTAATTGCGCTCCGGGGTATTATGGACTCATGTGTGAATTGGGTAAATATTTTACTATATCAATTACGTACATTTAACGCTTTTTAGTTCAGTTTCGATAAATCGAACACGTTGTGTGCTCGTAAATTTTAAGCCGACAATTGGAGTTGAAAATCAGAGAAGGTTGATGTCGTTCTTCAATAACACCGATGTTAGCAAAACATAGCAACTTGCTGTGAACACTTATTTAACATTTAAGATTACTGGAAATTATTATTTTTAAAAATAATCTTATAATTGTTAGAGCCAAAATTCCGCCTTCTCAATGCCATAAAGTGAAATGCTATCGGACCGAGGTTTGTGGGTCATCTTAGGGTATAGAAAGAAGGAAATGAAGGAAATTTATGTTACTTATGAAATTAATTTGTGCTGTGTTTTCACATGACTAAATTCATTATTTCACTTGCTGCCGTTCACTTTCTCCGTGCAGTTTGGCACCTAAAATTACGGAGCGTGCTTACTATTTAAGAGACTATAGTATAAGTCAAGTAAGAAAAAAATTAACTCTTTATCTAGGGTTTCCAGATATAACTAAATGAATACTTTATGTAATACTTACACACAATTTCTAAATCTATACAGAAATTGACCCATGCCTCAGCAAACCTTGCAAAAACAGTGGGAAATGCATCAAATTGCCAAAGCAACCAATGAGATGTGATTGTGCTTTCCCTTTTGAAGGAGATTTTTGCCAAAATAGTAAGTCCTATTATTTTACTCGTTATTTTATAGTCCTCTACACAGGGTATAATTCCATGCTCGGTATAAGTAACATCGATTACTTGCTTACTTATTTACTTATTTATTTACTTACTTATTTACTTACTTACTTGATCGCTTGCTCACTTGCTCGTTCGTTCGCTTGCTCGCTTGCTTATTCAGATTACGTACTAATATCAACCAACATTTGCATGGAATCAATTTATTTCTTCATTACAGTGAACGTTTATTATCACTTTGTTCTGACCAAAACTTCTGAAAATCCAATTCTTCAAATATATCGTAAGTCTAGTCATGGAAAGCTTGGGGTCTGGTTTTGGTTTAAAACATCGCAAGCATTCGCACCTTTTTTCTCAATTGTGCCAGACGATTACACGAAAGAATCTCTTCAAATGTGGAAAGTTAACTCCACTATTCATGTGAAGTTCTGGGAAGGCGTTGGGTAAGTTTCGCAACAATCACAACACGCTGGACGCTTGCAATTTTAGAACAATACTGACATACACGGGTAAAAATTGATCATGTTGTTCGGCGTTGTTCAAAACAGGAGCGAACAATGTTGTGCTGCACCCCGTGAACAACATTGTTAACAAGTTGTTCAACCATCAGTACTGTTGCAACTTGTTAACATGATTGTCAACAAGTTGCAACAATATTGATGGTTCAACAACTTGTTGACAATAATTGTTCACGGGGTGCAGCACAACATTGTTCGCTCATGTTTTGAACAACTTGCATCAACATGATGATTTTTACGCGTGTACAGGGGCCGGTTGTTCAATAGTGGGTTAGCGCTAGCACAGGGTTAAAATTTAACCAGAAGTTTTAATTTGCGTATACTTCTGTACGTCCATTTATTTCAAAATGTCAAAAAAGAAAACCTCGATTGGTCCAGACATGATTTCTGAAGAAATATTTCCAAATTAATAAACAAGCTGTTAGGAAGTGCGCTTCGAATTTTAAGTTAACCTATAGGGTTAAGCTAACCGGCTTTTGAACAACCAACCCCAGAGCATTGTGCAATTTTCGCGGTAAGAGTGAGATGATGTAAGATTCAATGAGGTGAAGTTTATTTGATTGGGATGATTTGTTTGATTGGTATGAGCTGCAGTGAAGTGGACATGAGTTGGAGAGAAGCATAGTTAGGCCGAACGCAGCTTCTGTTATATTTAAATGTTACTGTATAAACGCGTCAAATAGGGGATGAAATAAGTTTATCAATACCCTTATAACTGTCTGCCGCTTTTTTTACTAATAGAAAGAAGCAAAGCCTTAAATTGTCGAATTCACAATAAAATTTTGAGCTTTTCAATCTCCACTTGCATATCATTGCCGTGCCAAGCTAGCAATGTCCGATCAGCTGAATATTTTGCGACAAATCTGAAAAGTTTTAGTATTTTACTTGCCTCAGAGAAATTTAAATTTCAAAACCATTACATAACGGTACACGAGTGGAATCGTAAACGTGGGAAACCACAACATTCATATATATATATATATATATATATATATATATATATATATATATATATATATATATATAACTACAGACGGTACCGTTTCGGCCTAATGGGCCTCATCAGTGCAGTGCTGATGAGTAGGATGAAAGTAACTCTTATTTATAGTTACCTTTGATGCCTCACGATTGTGGGACATCAAAACCATGCCAGAGCGCTCAAACTGCAAGCAGTGAGCGTGCGCAATGCGTAAGCGGCATGGCTCATCCTGTAGAGCGCTCAATATGACCTAAAGGCCATAGAGCGATATCCAACTACAGACGGTACCGTTTCGGCCTAATGGGCCTCATCAGTGTAGTGCTGATGAGCAGGATGAAAGTAACTCTTATTTATAGTTACCTTTGATGCCTCACGATCGTGGGACATCAAAACCATGCCAGAGCGCTCAAACTGCAAGCAGTGAGCGTACGCAATGCGTAAGCGGCAATGGCTCATCCTGTAGAGCGCTCAATATGACCTAAAGTCCATAGAGCTATATCTAACTACAGACGGTACCGTTTCGGCCTAATGGGCCTCATCAGTGTAGTGCTGATGAGCAGGATGAAAGTAACTCTTATTTATAGTTACCTTTGATGCCTCACGATTGTGGGACATCAAAACCATGCCAGAGCGCTCAAACTGCAAGCAGTGAGCGTGCGCAATGCGTAAGCGGCATGGCTCATCCTGTAGAGCGCTCAATATGACCTAAAGGCCATAGAGCGATATCTAACTACAGACGGTACCGTTTCGGCCTAATGGGCCTCATCAGTGTAGTGCTGATGAGCAGGATGAAAGTAACTCTTATTTATAGTTACCTTTGATGCCTCACGATTGTGGGACATCAAAACCATGCCAGAGCGCTCAAACTGCAAGCAGTGAGCGTGCGCAATGCGTAAGCGGCATGGCTCATCCTGTAGAGCGCTCAATATGACCTAAAGGCCATAGAGCGATATCTAACTACAGACGGTACCGTTTCGGCCTAATGGGCCTCATCAGTGTAGTGCTGATGAGCAGGATGAAAGTAACTCTTATTTATAGTTACCTTATATATATATATATATATATATATATATATATATATATATATATATATATATATATATATATATATATATATATATATATATATATATATATATATATATATATATATTGTTAATCTCCAACA